CGGCCGGGTTCCTTATCTCCTCGCTTTTCTTTATTTTACCACCAAACGCTGCCTTCCCTCAACAGAGTCGTTGTTTTTTCCCTTCTGGTACGGGTCACGCGACTTTTATCTGTCAGATTCTTGTCTGGAATGCTGTTATATTCGGTGGCAGATTTGTGTAGTGATTTTCTCGAGGAAGTGTTTCTCGAGCAGAATAAATAGATGATACATTGTGGAGTATTATTTAATTTATGTATAATTTAAATCATTCGCTTTACATTTTACCGTATCAGTTTTACGTATACCTGTCACTTTATAAAATAATCTCTTCATATTTTTTATACAATAAATTGATCATAATTTATTCAAATTTATTTCACAATTAACATTCATTCACGTTGTATTTCAACATATCCACAATCTACTATTTCAAGAGCTATACTATACGGGAATAGACGAACTATGTAAAAATTAAGTTTTCAGTTCCTTCCTCAAATCTGATCCGATACTCTGTTCGATAGGGTATGTCGTTTCTAAGAGCGTTTCCGTTTTCTCTGAAGATCCGACAAGCAAAAGAACGCCTCTGGGATCGGGTTTCCAAACGTTTTAATCGGCGTTTTTCTTTTACCTACCCGGCCGCGATTTCACGATTTTCTCCGCCCTCGGGGGAGAGGAGAGAGTGTCCTCTTTCAGAAAGGAGTTATCGCCGAAGGAAGCTACAGGCATCGGTGTGCTCCTGTGAAGTGGGGTTGGGGACGGCCGGTGGGGTTAAAACGACCTCCGCAGTCGAGGCTGAAGTCTGAAAGATAAGGTACCCCTCTTCTCTCTCTCGGCCTCCTAGATTATGGAATGGCACTTTAATTACACTAATGGGAGAACCAAATGTTAATTACAATTCGAAGTCTAAAAGAGAGACGATTCGCGGCCTGTATAAGAGCGAGAAAGACAGAGGGCGGAAAGGGGCTGGTAGAGGAGAGAGGAGAGATAGGCCAGTAGACGGGGAAGGGACCAGATGAGATTTTCGTGCGTAAGAGGGTTCCCGTGATTAGTATTATTTAATTAAAAATGCCCGGTCCCATTATGGTCACCTCTCATAAGGACCAAGCTTAGTTGCGTGGGAAGCTGCTTATGAATTGGATTATCGAAAGGAGAAACGAATAAAGTGGAGAATGAAATGTCATGGCCAATCATTGCTACGTATATTGATAGAAGGCTTAATGAGTGAAGAGCCAGTCAATTATTATTTGGCAAAAAGCTAGAATTAAGGAATCATTCCAAAGTGAAATAAATGGAATTCAGTTAAGGAAAGCAATGAAACGAACACTACAAGCAACACGTAATAACATATATCACATAAAGAACAATGAAAATGTAAAATATTCGATCATGTATTATCGTACAATCATTGCAACTGACAAAATATCTTCACGTTATTAATTTGTCCGATAATTGAGCGTAATTAAAAAAAACGCAGAAGAATTTAACATGAAAGACACGGTACCAGTTACCAAATTCGATATCCGCTTTAACACGTTTCTCAAAATAAGAAATTTAGAAAACATCTATTCATCAAGAGAGGAAAGAAACGAAACAATTGGAACCACAGAAAAGTTTCTGGTTGAAACGGCTCTGTCGACAGTGGATCGATCCGAACGGTGGAACGGATATCAACATTTTGGAAATCTCGTTTCCTTCCCCTGAACGATTTAGGTGACGTCGTCGTAAGCGGGACGACGAGGAGGACTACGCGGACGACTACGAGGACGGTCACGACGACGATGGGCTATCGACGCCGGGGTGGAGTCGAGGCAGCAGCCGGGTTTCAATTTAAAGTTGGACGAGCGTGTCGGGATTTCAATGTACAAAATGCGTATGCTAAACTTTTCGCACCCCTGTGGTAGCCGCCGCCCCTCCGTTCGTCTTCGAGTTCCCAAACACCCTTGACGCCGTAGCTCGAATGCCGGACAACGTCCGTGTCGACGTTTCGTCCGGGAAAAATCAGCAAGTCTGATGCATCGTCAAGTAGAAAGGGCGCGCAAGTAGAACGTCGCTCCCGTTCGACACGGTGCTCGCGGGACGAATGTTCCGTGGAACACTTTGAAGTCACTGTTCCCAAAGGTCAAATTACTTTTTTGAAGCCGTCACACGGAGGCCTTAGCGGCATTCACGGCTCGGTCTGAGGATCCCTAATGATCGCAGCTGCGATCGAAGGTGATGCATATCAATGGATAGGCTTGAAACGACATCGTGTGAAGCAAGTTTCTAATGGCATCCAGTCGCTAACTTTTCTCACCAGAAGGTACGCATGCACCTATGAGGTATTTGCATCTAGTTCCAGGCACTAGCTTTGTCTCGTTCCGTAATTTATACTAGGGGTTTAGGCTTTGTCGCGACGCCAACTAAACACCTAGGAAATTGTGCATTGTCTTTGATGGTTAAGCATGGAAGTAGAAAATAAGAGGTATTGGAAAATTACTATTTACTTAATTACTATACATGAAGCAATGATTTTTACCTTCCTAAGATTTTCGTTATCCGTGTGGTGAATGGTCTATGATTAATAATCCAACGTAACTATATCCTTAAAATCAAAATTATTTTACATCGTATTCTTCTTGTTTCTCTTCCAAAAACATTCGATATGCATTTTTTTTTCTTTCTGTTGATTATTTCTGTTTTCCATTTCCTTGAATCCTATCCCAAGACTCTAAATCAAGCGTCATTCGAAAATAGACGGGTTCCAAACATGGTCTTCCGATTCGATCGCATGGTTTCGACGCGAATCTAACTTCGACAATGCATCCAGATGGAATGTCACGCTGTGTACGATTACTGCGAGACGAAGGGCGAAGATAGGAAAAGAAGAGAAAAAAAAAAGAAGAGCAGTGGAACGAGGAAGATGCTGCAGCGGCCGAGCGATCGTGGATGGGTGAGAAGTTTCGCCCCAGGAGTTGGATTACCGCGTGGCTTCGGTCGGTATTTGAAAATCGTGGGGTCTCGAGACTGGCGGGCGAAGCTGCCGTGTGATTGATTTTGCATACGACACGGATTGGACAGGTTTGAGAAATTGGACTAGCTTTCTGGGTTGGTTTGGCCTTTCTGCCCTCCTTGGCATTTCCCTTTCGAAACGGCCCTTCCCCTTCCATCTTCTTTCTATATCGCGAGTGTCTATATGCCTGGATGGTTATATCGACGCGTACGTCGAGAGTATATGTATGTCGATGTAACGTATATACTTAACGTATCCAGGAGTGTCTACTCGCGAGAGACGGAGAAGGGTTCCCTCTCGTATCTCTAGCGGGAAACCGAGAAGGGGATTGGCCTCGAACGAGCGATTTGTGCGATCTTCAAGGATGTATTTATGAGCGTTCCAGGCCCGCTTCTTCCACTTTCATATTGCGTTCGGCATTTTCCATGGCGATGTAAGTTACGGCGTGCAAAATCGAAACGTGACATCTAATATAAGATGCGATCGTTTCTTGAAGGCGTTGAGTATGGAGTTTGATATCGACTCTGATGGCAATCGCGAGTTGGAAACGTAGGATTAAGTGAAATATTTACATAAATTGATAAGACTAATCATTAGTAAGAAGAAGAAACTTATCTACTGTCTTTTTCTGTAAAAGACCCTATTTCTTTTTTAGTAGATGATTTTCAAACAACTTTCCCCTTTTCTTCATTCTTGCCACATTCTTATCAAATTCTTTATTGAAATACAGTTGTTTAAATTAAATAAAAATTGTGTAAAGATCTAAGAATGTCTAATAAAGAACTAGTATTACTTGAATATTCATTTAAATCAGAAATTTACAAGCTATCATTCAATCCTATACTGGCTTTTTAATTTAGAAACATATTTATCATCCAAATAACGCTTGAACACAAGAAATAGTCTAACATTCGTCAAAACTAACACAAGAAACTTAAAAAATTACTTAACGAGACACGAATGGCGATGATGCATACACAGAGGATAGTGCGTAAGAAGAAGCTGTCTTGAGGCATTCAGGCTAACTCGTCTGGCGTTATCTGCCGACGTCGGAGTGGATAACAGGCCGAACGATTTATTCTAAACCTTTATCCGGCGGCCCCTCGAAATTTATGAAAGAAGACGCCCGTTTAACCGACTCGCTCAGTCATCTCTCACGATGGTGGTGAAGCCACCCTTCCCTCAACTATCTTTCTTCCTTGCTGTGTCTCCTTGTTCTTCTTCGAGCTCGCGCCTCCCTTCCCTCTGGTTCCACCTCCTCTTCTCGATTCTCTGCCCTGTGCTCGCATGTCAGCCCTTTATTTTATACCAAGACGAGTCGGTCCGAGTCGGTCCTAATATTAAAGGGGATGGTTCACCCTTAGTGCGTGATCGGGATACTAAAATTCGCCGATCGGATGGTTCGTGACTTCCTTATTGAAGGACAGAACGAAAGGCGAGTGGCAGGTTTCTCTGCGAGCAAAACGTCATTGAGAGCTCGAGCATTGCAATCTTTTTCTACGGTTCGTGAAACATAGAGCTTGATTATTGAGAGTACATAGTACTGAAATGTGATGGGTGAGGTGTTCAATTGGGTCTTTGAATAAAGTTTCCTTGTTTAACAAGTCAGAGGCTTGGAGTACTCTTTTATTTCGTACGACGAACTATTAATTTAATACAAAAAGTTTAGAATAATAATTTTTGCAGCTACCTTTCTAGGAATATAATGTAGTTTTTGGATTTACAATTGATGAGCCACGTGAGAACATTTTTGTTAATGTCTTGATTTCGAATAATTTGTTTGATTCACGAATATAAATGTTTTGAAAATAGATGATAAATCTGTGAAGTTTTATAAACAATAAAGTAACGAAATCATCTTTTAAATAATCAGTTCAACAGGGTGCAAAAGTACAAATTCTACAACCAATTGAAAGAAAATGAATGTTTCTAACGTCCAATAGCATTTTAACACAACTTCAAAAGTAGTTCAGCAACGAACGTGTCATTTTATCCAATTTTCAGAATAACGTTTTGTTTCTGTGTTTCCCAGTTGTATCTGAGCAAAACCCGGCAAAGTGGTCTCACGGACAATTTGCATCAGGATCTCTTACGAACGGTCAACCCAACTGCACGCCAGCAAGGTAAGTCTCGTTGACTTTTTATTTTTTTCTCTCTTGTCTTCTTCCTGGAATGATGCTTTTCCCTCTCGAATTTCTTCGGCATCGCCGACTGCGAAACGGCTTTGAATTTCCGTCTGCGTTTGAAAAAGATTTCGTCCTCTACCACGGCCTCGTTTTTTACTGTTTTCTCGTTTCTCTCGAATTCGCTCGAAACTTTCGACACTCGCGTATACACGCACACACAGAACGGTGTCGTTTAACTGTTCTAACGACGAGATACTCGCTTCGTACGTATATCGAAACTGGCGAAGTCCTGTGCCGAAACACAAGCGACATTTCGAAACTTTGGCCAATTTCGCGTGTACTCGCTTAGAATAAATATGTGATCCACGTGTGCCGGCGTATCTACGCTCAATATGTACGAGTCGCTTATAAATTATGTTTTATCTCGAACTTCTATGAAGATACATATTTAATCAATATTCGATGAATTATCGTGATCATTTTCTAACTTTGACTTTTATTTACGAGGTTATCTTTTTAGGAATATAAGGTTCAAAATATTAGGAATTCTCAAATTTATTATACCTAATATATCAAAAAATAGATGAATTCGTAATTGTTAAACAGAAGTAGATGAGATACTCAATAAAGTAATTATTATTAGTATCCCTGTAAAAAATAAATTGCTACTATTCTTTTAAAAAGCTACTTTCATTCTATTCATAGTATAGTATCTTTTCCGATATTTAAAGAGATTTTCATATAATATCATGCCTTATGTAATTAATAATTTACTCAAATTATTACTAATATTTATTAGTTGGTTATTAACGAACTATTTACTTGAGAAATTAAAACACAAAGAAAATCCATGATCCAAGAGGAAAGATGGAAAACTGTTAAGGAAGACATTGAACAACTACTGTCTTGATTTCCACGGAGTATAGACAAGAATTTCTACAAGCTGAAACGATGGCATCGTCGTAGACGAACGCGATTCGTGGGGACGGGAAAAGTAAGGAGGTCGGCATCATGCATAACCCCACGTCGGCCTCGCATAAATATTCTAATAACTTCGGAAACTAATATGATTGCATCCAGCAGGAATAATATCCTGTTCGAAGTGGGCATCGCGGCTGTATGCGTGGAATACGAAATACGTGGAGCGCGGCGTCCACATGAGAACGACGTCGCGCTCCTCCTCACGTAACCGTAGATCGCCGCGAGGGTGGAAGCGATCTCTCTCGATGACAGTGATTACTTTAATCGTGCTTTCCCTTCCCCGTCGAGAATGTTCTAGAAAATAGTTATAGCGACGAAAACCATAAGACGTATCGCTTCAAACTATCACACGATGTTCGATAGCTATAGATTGTCGCAGGAATGTGGACGCCATTGCAGACATGTATTAGAAAGGTATGGGAATACAAGAAGATATGGAAAGAAATATTTTCTTTTGGATATATGATTTCATTCTCGTTTTTAGTAGAAAATACTTTAGACAATAAAAACTTTTGTTACTAGTGGCGAAGAATCGTGCAGTGGTTGTTTGTATGAGATTTTAAAATAATTCTAGAGAATTTTAAATAATTTAAAAATAACTTTCAATGAAAAATTGACTATAAGATTAGATGACTATAAGATTAAATGACTATAAGATTGACTATAAGCTAGTAATATTCTTGTAAATGATAATGGTGAATGCATAAGCCTAAGTGATCCGTATCTTTTTACATAAAGCTTCGCTGTTATGTTGAAAAATCAAGGATAGAAAATAAAGAAATGGAGGTGACCTTTTGTTTTAAGATAATTATCCTTCATATATTGTATTTCTGACTCTGATTTACTCAAAAACAAAGTCTCACGTGATATCAAATAATTCAATATTTTCAATATACTTTCTCGTACATAAAATCATATCGTTCCATGATATATCATAAATTCTACCATGTAATACCAAGAAAGGGTAATTTTCAACGTATGCACATTGAAGCACAACGACGACGAAGGCCGTGAACGAATGGTTTCGAAACGCCAAGGACTCGTTAACGCGAAATATCGTTAAATCGATTTCGCGCAGATTCGAGACGCTCGACGAAAATCCATCCGAGAGATTCGAGTTCGAAAATTAATTTCAATCCGTACTTGAGCCCCTGGCTCCCACTCCTTCCTCCTCTCTTTCGTTTCGTCTCCTCTCCGGCTAGGTTGGTCAAACAGCGCCATGTACAGCGCGGTTGGAAAATCGAGCAGCGCTCGAGTACTGGAAACAAAAGGCCGACGTTTCAATTAGGTCCCTTATTAGTTAGCGATAATAGGGCCAGCGGCGGTCGAACGGTAAGGCCAGGGCTTTCCAGTGCTTAACCGTTGGCTGTGTTAGATTCGCCGGCTTGTTTGCGTGGATCCAGCTCTTACGATATTAAGGGCTGACTAGGCATTCACCGATACCGTACCGACCTCCAACCACCCACGAAGCCCTACCTCCTACGCGTTTCGATGTTTAGAACCACCCTCTAACCTATGGCTCTCCTCGACTTGACCAAGATAGAAGGGACAGCGAGGGATCCTTACACTTCGTGGCTGGACCATTCGCTGGGTCGATTGATTTTCTCGTGTTAGGACGTTGCAAGGATGGAAACCTCTGATAACAGAGTTTGTATGATGGAAAATCGAATTCGCATCTTCTAAAGGAAGTTCGGTATTCAAGGAATGTGTTCGGTTGATGCTCATGAGGAATTTAAATATGTGAGAGCAAAGGGTAACATAAAAAGTAACTTATAAAAGATAAAACTATAAAAATGTGAGAAAATCATATGTAAATTGCCGAAATATGGACAGCATCAAGGAATGTAAAGGATATTTTTAATTGATTTATCGTATAGTACCTAAATATTGCTAATGTGTGTAAACATTTCTAAGTTTGGTTTGGTCTGCTTTATATTGTCACAACACTTAACAATATAGTTCAGCTGTATACACAAATATATGTACATATGAGCAAAAAGCTGGTGTATACACACGAAGTAAAGTGTGAGGCTTGATAGTAGAAAAGGGAGAGAGTTAGCGGTGCGTTCTCGAAGCCCAGGAGGAATTTGTCGCGAGAAACCGGTCGCAGCAGTCGCCTGCGGCTCGCCGCAACGATCCTCTGTCGTTTTAGCCATTGTACGGGTACCGCACGCTACCGGAGAGACCGTTGCCGTCACTATCGTCGGAACCCTTCGAAACTAACTCGCCCCGGCCGAAACTGCGCCCGCTTTCCTCGCCACGAAACGGTCGACGTGGTTAACAAGCAGGCACGCGATGTGCATCCGCTATCGATTCGAAAGTGAAAAGACCAAGGCGACTTACGTGCACACGGAGAGGAAATGGAGCACGGTATTGCTTCAAGAATTAACTGTGAGACATTGTGTGCTTGATGGACGATAACCAGTCCGTTAAGGAACAACGTCGTAAACTTCGGACACCCATGTACATTGCTCTCTTTGCTACTGCTTAATGTTTTGCTTTCCACGGGGTTAGAGCTGGAAATTTTGGAAGATGTACATCTGATATTAAGGACCAGGGAGCTTTTGCCGAGTTAGCAAATATGTTTTCTTTTCGAAGTCCATTGTCTTAGAGAAATACTTATTTTAAAACATGACAATAAAGGATTATTTTTAAAAGCAGGGCATCATTGTTCACGATTTTGATTCACTGGTTGGGCAATTTTTGGATGTCATTGTTTGAACCTTCTGTCAGGTATCATTAGATCTTTTTCATCATTATCCGCAGAGCTGAGAATTATAGCAGTGTACATCAAAATTTTAAGGGTGTAGGAACAGCGTAACGATATAGAAAGATATATAAATCACCGAATAAAAGTATCCAAAGCTTCCACAATATCGGCAGAAAGTTATCTTCGGCGTCGCGTCGGTTCTTTGCGCCCGCAGAAACCGGAATTGGTTTTAGTGTAAATGTAGAGTGGCGGATTCGCCGGGTGTTGGAGGACGTCGTGGCGGATAGGGTGGCGCGGCGGTGGAGTGGTAGCGACATCTTGTATTGTCAGATCCCAACGCGACAAATTCATAATTGCGTTAATGCGGGTACGGCGAGGGTTCTTGCCGCAACCACCGCAAGGCGCGCTATGGCGTCTTGCGGCTGTAAGAGAGATAGGGACCAGGCCTTCGAGAGAACGGGTGAGCGCAGGAGGGAAAATGGACGAGAAGGAGAGAGCCACTGAGAGAAAGAGAAGTCCCTCCTGACAGAGGCTCGTTAATCTTCCAAGGATTACGCCAGAAGGAAGTATCGCCATTGTGCAAGGTGCTCCTCTTCCAACCGATAATTATTAATTAAACTGGCCTAACGGGCCATTTCGCGATTTATCGATTTATCGGGAGACTCTTGCCAGCGTGGCGATGTTGAAACGTTTAGAAAAAAATCGGTTGATGTTTTGATGAGTTGAATATTGTTATTGAATAAAATTGTGACATATGCTATGTCATATATACAAAGGATGTTTGAAAATTGGATTGATATTATTTTGTAAAAGTTTGCTTTTTTCACAGTTCAAGTATTTTGATATTTCGCTAGCATTATGGTCAGTTTCATAACATATCTAATTATCTATCATATGAAATTAGGCTAGGATTATGTAATCATTCAAAAACGATGATCTCACCGAACTGCTATTTAATATTCTATAATACAAAAAAACTATTTCACCTAGTACAATTCCATTATAGATTACGTTTAACATTAGACATAAAGCAGTAACTCTTTCAACACAATCGTGATCAGTATATCAGCTCGTTTCAATAGGGTGTAGTTTTTGAACGAGAGAACCCGCGATACAGATGAGCCAACGAAGCGTGTTAATCGTCAGATTTCAATTAATCGTGGAAGATTAGACAATCATGAAATCGAACAGGAAGGGTCATCAAATCCGCACGAACGAACACGAGAATGAGAAAAGGGAGAGGAAGGGTTACGCGTGCGACCGGCTCGCAAACGGGCCGAGGGTAAAAAGGATAGAATTGCAAAAG